ATGTCAACTAACTTTCCTTGAAGTATTAGTAGACTGTCTTCTTAATATCTGTTAACTTTATTTTGATGGTCCTAAACAGACATTCTACGAATTAACTTCATGTTGACTAAACCAAACCAAACCCTAACCTAACAGTGTACTACTAGTTGCAAAGTTACTAATAGTTAGCAGACTGTCTATACTATCGAAATAGTGTAACCTTAACTGTTTTCAACATTTATGATAAGAAATATTTTTTTCTGAGCAGTAATGATACCGAAAATTCAGCTTAACATCACTGGATTAAATGACATTTTATAACATATTTACATAGAAAACAGTTATTTAACAGAAACGTTATAGCCATGGTGAGCATAAACATTCAGAAACATTCAAAAAAAATCACACCGACGCCAAATGTTTGAACTAATCTGATAGATAGATTTAATTGAAATAATGAATCATTTAAAAATTCAGATTTAGTTAAATCAGTAAATTCTGATTGTTGTTTTGTACCGGTAAGTATTATAGTATTGTTCTATAATTTGAATAAAAATACAATTTTGGTAGCGTTTTTGTCTCCAGTTTGAATAAATAATACTTACAGCCTTGTTTATCTGGACTTTGTTTTGCTCTGATTTGACACTTGCTCTTTATTCGTCCACGCAGGTACCTTGTTGGACAGAGACTTGTGAACTATGAACGAAAAGCTGGCAAGGCCAGCACTACCACACACAGCAGTTCAGTGCAGGAGTAAAGAGCTTGGGATTGCTTTGGAGTCATGGTTTTGTGTGTGCGTGTAATTGAGCGAGCATGTGTGAGCATGCGTGAACGACTGAATTAATTTTCCTGCTCCCTCTGCTTACCCGTGATGTATGCGTCCATACAACCATCACGTCCACTAAGACTAAAAACTGGCCTCTCTGACTCTGCCAGCAAAAAAGGGGCGAAAGAGCCATGTACATAAATGGGGCGAAAGATGGAAACCCTACAGCCAACCAACCGTGGATTTAAAAAGAATGTCTCGCTTCGAAAAGAAAACCCAGAAAGAAAAAAAAAACAAAAAACAGATTAAGTATGTGTATTAATTTATTAAATCTTGTTGTTACCTTATTTGTGGAGATTTGTTTGTGGTAGGACTCGACCCACATGGTTCCTTTCACCAATCTCATGGAGAGGCCACTCAGACTCCAGAGCTGAAATGTCTCTCAGACAAACGTCTGTGTCACAATGGAGCTGGACTGTCACATTAGTACCTTTTTATTTATTAGTTTTGAATTTTCAATGAAATATGATCTTGAGGTTTTTGAATGAGAGGGTGTCTCGTTTGATTTGGTGCAATTGGCAGTGTGTCTTACCTTTATTTCTCGATGCTTTAACCCCCCTAGTTTTATGTGCGAAGCAGAAGTGGATGGAAGCGGTTACGCAACACCTATCTGCTTCCTGTCATGTGGAAAAGAGGGAATTTCATTTCACCAACAGTTTGTGCACGACTGTTGTTCAAGAAGAAGACCGAAGCAGAGTCGGTATCTAGCAGACGAAGCATAGTTTGACGGTAGTGTTTATGGCTCACAGTGAGCCGCAAAGCCTACCTCTGCCTGCTAGCTCTTCGTTCAACTCTGAAAAAGCCTTTCGAGTAGTTTAGAAGACCGTTTAGAGTGCTAATTTCGTCAGTGGTTGAGCTAGCATATTTGTCTGCTGTTCAAGTTGATATCGACCGTTGTATGTCTGTCTTGTGCTCAGCATGGCCTAGCAACACTTTCTCATAGATGTAACTCTGGCACGTACACAGGTTGTTGCTTTTTTTAATGAATAAAGCGTTTTTTTAAGAGCAGCAATAGTTCAGAAACCCTTTAGACCAAAATTTTAAGTCCTTACCTTATAATTCATCAAACTGATCAGATTTCAGTCGAAACGTGTGGTTTATGATTCTTGCTTCCATTTGTTAGAAGAGAAGTCTTTTTCGTGTCTGTAGGTAAGGAGGAGATCCTCGACAACACGTTTGTATATAACGTAACCTTTCAATTCTTTGTGTATGTTTTTCTCCATTTCAGATTTGCCGCGTCTGTTTCAGGTTCACGATTCCCGAAGAATTTGTCTCAGATGGCTTTAGAGATAGATAGATAGTGTTAATCAGCGCTGAGAGATTCTATAAGTGACCTTATAGTATCTTACTACACTGAAACTGGATACTGTATGCTTCTTGATAGCTTGCGCTCCTCTGAAAGGAAAATGTTCTATTTTTATATGTGCAACTAGTGACACCGTTTTCATGTTTGATCAGCCATTGATTTGATATCCTCTTTTAGTTTTCTGAGGTCAGCTAGAATCCAGGAAAAAAAAGGTAGTGGTCCAGCACTAAACACCGTCGTGTCTGGTTTACGAAGCCTTTTCATAGCATGTTTTGGTGAGAAGTATTCAGTATTTCTGAATGTTTTCAAACCTCCTGCTAGGAGGCTCTCGCTGTAACAATTACATTCTCATAATGGCAGATAATTTTTTGTTTTTGTTTTTTTCGTTGAAAACTTTTATTACAAATATTAAATCACAAAGTGTGGTACTCGCAGTGCTTTTGTGTCTTTAATCCAACTTTGAGACACTGTTTATGATATCCGTTTATTACAAAGTGTGATATAAAGATGTTTATTATACAAACGACTCAGTTAACCAGGTTTGATGTATAACAGTAATGGGGTTTGCAGCATCTGGATTTATAAGACTGACTACTCACACAATGAGAACTGCACTAAAAGCTAAAACTTGGTGGTACAAAAGCAATGCAGGACAAGACCACAAGTATTTCTGTTTTTGTAACATATTGAGACTTTTGATATGTCTAATGATACATTATCTCTATATGTATCATTATTAGCTGAGCATAATTTCTCATACATTCAGTACAAACTGTACACTTGTCCTGTCCTAGTCATCTGTAGAATCATGGCATGTTGTGAATCAATGGTGCACACAAGTAGATCAACAAATTTCTAGGACTCCTGGTTCGTTACCAGTGCTTTTACTTTCTATGGTTTCCTGTTATTGAATTAGGCTAGTTTGTTTGATGTTTGATGTGAGCATTGGCAGCATATTATGTTGTTTGGCATGGTTGTACAGAACATTTTGTATTCCTAAATACACAGCAAAATAAAAGTATCCTTTTGTAAATACACGCATGTGAGTGTCCAGTTAACAATCTGGACGCTCAGTCAAAGTTCATAACCTTCAGCCTTAATATGCCTTGTGGGTCAGTCACATAATCTTTTACAGTCTACGGTGATGTAACAGATGTGTCATGTCTGAGTTACAGAATGACCTGCCACAATACAGTGCTGTTAAGTTGTAAAGGTCTTATGAATCAGTGTTGTTGTAACTGAAACTACTAAACATTTTCAGTAATTGAACTAAATCTTAAATAAAATACAAACTCTAGATGAAAAAATCAGCTTAAAATATATAAATTAGAAATGTTGCCTTGGCTACTAACAAGTTGAAGCATTACTAAAACAGAAATAAATATAAATTAAAGCTAAATAGAATTAGAAAAAAAAATGCTAAAAGCACCTAACAAAATTATTCAAACAAATTAAATTAAAACGAACACTAAAAATACTATAATAATACTAAAACACTAAAAAAAATATATATTTGAAATGTAATATTTGCATCCTCAATTATTCAACTCACCATGACAGTTTATCCCTATGTAAGACAAGCTATCACTGTTCCACCTTTTTGGAGAAATTTTATTTTTCTTTTGTAGATGTTTTCTTAAGTTAAGTTCAGTTTCCTGTGAAGAGATGACTCCAACTCATGACACAAACTCTGAATCAACATGAACCAATCCTAAATTTTCTATTATAATCACAGCTTACTTGTGCCTAATTAGCCTACTTAAATGAGCTCATTGTTTCTGCCTTAATTTAATACATTGTTAGCTAACTGTGTGATTGTATACATTTCTGAAATAGACAGTCACCTCTGATGACAGATAACTAAACTGTAATGTAGACACATGCATTTTCTGTAAAGCTGCTTTGAAACGATATGTATTGTGAAAAGTGCTATACAAGTAAATGTGAATTAAATTGAGTTTAGCTGAAAGCTGGCATTATAAAATATAATTGGCCAAATCAGTTACCATATTACCTTTAGAAAATATTAGATCACGTGACCTTTTGTAAAGATATTAAGCAGGTTTATCTATATACATTTTCTGGGATAATTTAACGGCCTGTGCTGTAACAAGAAATATCAGTACAAAACATCTTAATACATCATCCTAAAGCCCGAAGACCAAAAATGTTGCTGCCTTAAACATCCCAGTTGATTGTACTTAAAAATTTAAGTAATTTCAACTTAAATTACATTAGACTGACTTAAGCAATTCTCAACTTTTTTGTTTTGATATATGCAAGATTCAACAAATTACAACAAATAAGTTTAACTTATTTGGAGTTAAAGCAATGCAAAAAAACATATGTTGTGATAACTTATTGATCATTCAATTTTTTACAGAGTAGTCAGAAAACAGCAGTCTTAGTTCAACCAAAAACATTGAAAGTGATGTTATTGTGTTATTGTTTTCTTAGAATGCAAATGAGAGAACAGCTTATCCACAACAAAATGTTATTTCTGCTGCATCCAATTAACCTTCCACTAATCCATTGAGGAGGCTTGTGTGGACAACAGTTGATCACAGTCAAATATAGGCTATCAAAGTGTGGAAAGTCGCTCTGGATGTGCTTGTGAGTATCAAAGTCGGCTAAAAATAGAAGCGATAAGAGTAATAATGGTACACAGCAGGACTACTCGTATCCTGAAAGATATAAAAGTGCTCCGCACATTAACAGGCATCAGTTGTGTTGAGAACTGTTTTGTGTAACTGATGCAAATTCGTGTTGCATCAGTTGGAAAATGTGCTGCATTGATTCCTCGGACAGTAAGATTACCGTTCAGCACGTGCACACAGGAAGGAGGGGGAGAGGCAGACAGAAAAAGACTAAGGCGATTAGGAGGCTTCTCTCGAAACAGTGCCCATGCATTTCCGATGGAAGTCCTTCATCCTCACTTTGAGCTATTGGTGAATTCTCCAACAACAGTCAAATTGGTTCACAGAACAAGTCCAGTGAAGAAAAAATGGGATAGTTTTGGTGAAAAACAAAACAAGCTTGGGTATGTATATTATAATCAGAAACTGGTCCTTGAAGAACAGCAGATATGATATAGAAAAGATCATTCTAAATGTTCTATGACTTCTGGTTCTTCATTTCTTGTGTCAATAACTGGATTTTAGGATTGCCATTCATTATGTGACAGTTTCATTCTGGATCCTACAAGATTATTGTTTTTGTGTTCCACCTGTCGGACAGGTAAATGGTGCTAATTACTGAGAATGGTGTTGCGAAGGGTGTACTTCTGGTCAAAGATCACCAAAATGGCACTAGTGTCAACCAAGCAAGAGGCTGGAACAATGAGGAGTCCTCCATACAGAGCGCCACTATTGTGGAGCCAACAGATGACTCTTATTATGCAGATGATGAAGACCACCATCTTTCTGATGATGATGATGACGACGACGATATCTACCAAGAATTTGAGGAGTTGGACTTTTCAAAACTACAGGATAACACGAGCGTTTTGTCGGATGATTCCTTCTACCCACCTGATGATTCGCTCAACTTCGAAAGAGTTCTGGGTCCTGAGAGCCCCGAACCACTCAGCTTCTTCAAAGCATGCTGCACTAACAATGCCATCATTGTCAAAATCCTGATAAGACAAGGGGTGACGGAGGAGGAGGTGCGAGAGGTGGACAAAAATAACAGAGTAAGTTAGCTTTTGAATGTTTTAAAAGGGAAATGTGTAATTTCAATGCCACCAAACTGAATCACAGAAATTATTGTTTTAAAAAGTTTCCCAAACACTCTCACCCCCTATCATCATTGCCCAAACTAGCTGGCCCCAAGCTCAACCTATTAGTCAAATCAGTGTTGATGGTCGGGGTGCTCAATTTTTTTCTCTTAGTGTTTCCACTTTTCTAAGGAAAGTCAAGCTAAAAATGACTTACTGATAGAAAATGAAACATTTTTGATATAAATATTGTAGTGCTCTTTTGTTATTTTCAATTTCACAAAGAAGATTGTGGATCAAACACCAGTTGTCACTGAATATTAAGACTCACATTTGTCTTTTAAGTGGTCTTATGTTTATTTTAGTCTTTTTCATTTTTAGCAACACAGGCAGTTGAAACATTCTCAGTTAAGAATTCAATTGCAGGAACACACTCATGCAGTGTGAGAAAATCTCTATCATTACCATCCATGCTTTGATTTTTTTGAATACTGGAATAATGAACATGTTACTTTCCAGGATCCATTCAGCTAAATCATGTGTTTAAAGGATGCCATTCTTGACTGGGAGACGGGCTTTCACTCCCCTTAACCCTGAGAAGCTTACAGTTATGACAATGTCGGTGATAACAGTGTCATGTTTATGCAAGGCTATTATCATATCAAAGAGTCTTTAAACATGAATGATCCACGCAGTGCTCCTCAGGGAATGAGCTCAGGCGGCTGTCTCCTTCCTCCATAAATATCGATGTAGCGCAAAAGCGAGGCTGAGACTTTCATCCATATAACATTAAAGGCAAATCTATAAGAAAAGACATCTGGCTCGGATGGCGGCTGTAAGTAAAACATGTGCCTTCTTGACATGAAATTGCATCGAGTCTAAAAATATTAAATTGTAGTTAGGTTTTCACTGACATGACAATCACAATATGTAAATAAATGGCTCATTGTCAAGTCCAGGAGTTTAAAAATGGGTGGCCAAGGGGCTACAAGGGTGTCCATGGAAAAAGCACAGTAGCAAAATTACTAAAACTAAAATTAAACGTAATAGTATAAAAATAAAGCTAAAATAACACTTTTGTGTGTACAGAAAATGTCCACAAAAGATTCATGACATTTCTAATTCAAATCTATGTCTTGACTTGATGTCCAGTTGTGGTGTGACTGTGATCTGCAGCCGAAATATAATGGGTGCACCAGCCAGCAAAGCCCGGAGTTTGAATTGCATGAGATGCAGCCCAAGCAGATCATAATCACGAATGAGCTTTTAAAGGCTCTCCAAGATGTGAAAATACTGCAGGGCTCTGCCTAGACAGTAGACAGGGATTTTTTTTCTCCGGCATGTCATAATAGAGGAGAGAAACCCTAATTTGTCCATTTAGCACAGACCTTATAATGTAAGTGTAATTCCACTCAAGGGAGTCTAGCTGCAGGCCATAAAAGTCTAAATTTGACTCTGCCACCTTGTCATGGTAAATTATATGTGAGAATTGAGATGACTTCCTTCCTCAGTGAATCATTTCAACTCAAATTGCACTGACTACTGCTAAACGTGTCGGTCTTCCTAAAAATAGAACCTTTAATAAATGAAGCATCACCTGCTCCCCTCTTTTGTGCTTCTGCTGCTACTGAGACCATATTGAAAAAGATTCTCTGGTGCACTTTGCCGCTTGGCACAAGCATTGAATTTGTTAATAAACGTCTTATTGAAAGGGATAGCTCACTTTGAAATTAATTGTTGATATGTTTTAGCTTACCTCAAGGTCATCCAAGATGTAGGTGTTCACAGTATTTTAAATTTTGATATTTTTCGGTCAAACCGTTGTTGTCTGTCAGTCATATAATGGAGGTTCAGGGGGTCCACCCTGGGTTCACCTTAAAGAGCATGCACAGAGAAGTCAAAATTAAACATGATTGAATGACTCGTAAATGTAAGTACACATTGATGGTCTAAGACACGAAACGAGCGGTTTGTGTGAGAAAACGAACAGTATTTATATCGTTTTTACCTCGTACTACCACAGCGATGTCAAACTGATCTGATGGCACAGGCGCTTCAGTCTGCGCATGCGCCGGAAGTGATCGCTTGTGCACCTACGTCACTCTTTGTTTATACAGAGATTTCGGAAGTTTTACCTTTCACTAAACATAATAGATATAGAAAATCGCAATGGAAGACGATTTCGGTATATCTAAATATGTTTAGAAAAAGGTAAATCTTAGAATCTCCGTGTAAATATTGCGTGACGTACACACGCAAGCGATCACCTCAGGCGGAACTTTGAACATGATTCAGTTCGGTTCAGTTGGACATTGCACAACTGATTCATATCACTTGGACGTGAATGTGATTACGCGGGGTAAAACGATATAAATACTGTTTGTTTTCTCACGCAAACCGCTCGTTTCGTGTCTTAGGCCAGCAATGTGTACTTACATTTACGAGTCATTAAATCATGTTTAATTTTGACTTCTCTGTGCATGCTTTTTGACGTGGACCCCCATACCTGCATTAATATGACTGACAGACAAGAACGGTTGGACCGAAAAATGTCAAAATTGAAAATACTGTGGAAACAAAGATACCTACATCTTAGCTAAAAACATATCAAAAATTAATTTCAAAGTGAACTATCCCTTTAACCGTTCATCATTGCTGAATAGAACTGGACAGTTCTAATCCCAAGACGTCATATAACTGACCATACGTCTACATCCAACATTTTAGGGTACCCTTTAACGTCAGTGAGATGATGCTATCTAATCCTAACCCTACCCCAGACCTAAACCTACATGCGTCATCTAACTGACGCTAAAGGGTACCCTAAAACGTTGGATGTTGACGGATGGTCAAAAGCGTAGTTAGATGACGTCTTGGGATGAGAATGTGTCGAACTGGACGCTTGGTTTGTGACTCACTCTTAAGCAACACAGTTTGAAAACTCAATGTTCGGGACACAAACAGAAACTACACATACATGCACAGAAACAAACGGTTACTCACACAGAGATAAAAAGGCTCTTGTTTTCCCCAACGCAGCAGGCTGTGTGTGTGGCAGTTAAAGACATGCAGTCCTCCTTAAGACTCTACGACCCATTTGCATGTAAATGTCTCGTCTCAACTAACACAATCCCCGATCATTTGTTTAATACAAATCTTATTCTACCACCATTAGGACTGGGGAAATTATGTGTAGCACAGTTAAACAGCACCATTAAGCACTTATATTTAATGATCCTGTTTATCAGTCTCGGCAGTGCTCAACCTGTTTTCACAGTGCTGAAAATTAAACAAAAAAATATGAGATTTTAGTTTCAGGAAACCTGCTGACTGGGGATGCACATTTGATAGCTTAAAGTTTGTATTTCACCTTAGAGTTTGTAATCACCTCCACAGCTGAACTTCTGTTGATCCCCAGAGGGGGAGCTTTAGGAGGTTAGAGAGGCTTTTCTTCACAATCATCTACGACAGCATGACATTTCGCATGTGAGACTGTGCTGTGTTGACCTGATGTGATCCCTATGAAGTGTCATAGGTAGAAATTGCTCATGCTATCTCATTCGGCCTATTAATAACCTTTATATTAAGAGATAAATTTATATATATATATATATATATATATATATATATTTGCAAAAGATCCTTAATGGCGGCTAAGAGAAAACTAGTCCTAAATGATATTTTAATTTAGTTGCATATATCGATTATATTATAGCATTGATCATACTCAGTTTCTTGCTATTCTGGAATTAGCACCATAAATGCCAGCAGTCAAGCGCTCTGAGCCCAGAGGGATCTCCATACTAAATCTTAGCTAATAGCCTTTATGGGCTTACCATCTGCCTGTAGTGCTCTATAAGCACTCAATCTGGAGACACAAAAGAAAAAGAAGATGCTTTGTACCGTTGTGAACTTTTTTTTTCTTCTAAAGTGTACAGGAAACATAGAAGGAAAGACCAGGAGACTTGTTGTCCTTCAGCAGGATTCTTTATTGAGAGCACGAGCTGTGCTGGTGGTAGCTGCAGTCATCAAGTCTGACTAAGGGAACTTTCCCTTGTAATCTATGTATATTTAGGGGCGGGGATTTACATTGTGATGAGACACTATTAAACAAAGCAGGTAAATTAAGTATACCGGTTTAGAAACCTGCCCAAGACTAAGAGTGATACAAATCCTAATCCAATCAGCATAACTATTCAAGCTGAGCCAGGGGCTCCCAAAGCCATTTAAGACAAAGAGTCTCAGTAATCTGATTCATATAATTTACAATAGAGAAAACAGGACTGGCAGAATCTCTTGCTGGAAACTCTGATATAATCATCATTTATACCTCAAATGCAAAATTCAGTCTACTTTACTTTCTCAGTTTTCTATTGAGAATTCTATTGAGATTTTACTTGCGTTCAAAGAGCAGGTCTCCCCTGCACTGCATTTGTCTCTGTGCTCATTTGTACAGTTTGTTATGCTTAACTGTTATACGTTACAAATAACAATTATTCTCCATTTACAGCATAACTGCACTCTAAAAAATGCTGGGTTGGTTTAACCCAATTTTGGGTCAAATATGGACAAAGCCAAACGTGTGGTTAAAAATGTTATTTAAAAATTTAACCCAAAGGCTGGGTTTGTCCACATTTGACCCAAATTTGCATTAAAACAACCCAGCATTTTTTAGAGTGTGTTATTTAGTCTGAATGTGTACTTTGTTCCTATCTTAAAAGGTAACTAAACCCTAAACCAACTTTTTTTTAGTTAATGATCTGTCTGAATCTTACAAACTTTTCATTTAGAACCTATAAATTAACTTGTACGAAAATGGCATTATATGACCCCTTTAAGCCAGTCATTGCCCAGACGATTTCCAAGAATAGTGTAAACACTGGCTTATGAGGTGTATTCAAAACATTGCTTGTTTGAGCAACACTCGCAAATTAGTTAATAGACTTTGGGTGAGGTTATCTCATGTCCAACCAATGCAAGATGAGGGGAAGTTTCCGGGAAATAAAATACACATTTCACCCTTAAATGCACATATAAATGCACAGTGGTGACATTCCAGTAATATTGACTGACCTTACTACAGCATAGGCTACACTTGCCATTCTAATTACCAGTTGACACATTTATTTTAAAGATCAAGAGCTCATCAACCTCATAAATAAGACCACTAAACCCAAGTGTTTCCTCCAAAGATGGATCTGGAAACTCACCCTGCAACAATCCCTGCCTACAATAATGGGGCGGCAGTGGCTCAGTGGTTCATGTGGTTTGTCTACAAACCGAAGGGTTGGTGGTTCAATCCTCGGTTCCACCTGACCAAGTGTCGAGGTGTCCATGAGCAAGACACCTAACCCCAGCTGCTCCCGACGAGCTGGCTGGCGCCTTGCATGGCTGACACCGCCGTCGGTGTATGAATGAGTGTGTGAATGGGTGAATGTGAGGCAATATGTAAAGCGCCTTGGTGGCCATTAGGTCTATGAAAGCGCTATATAAATGCAGTCCATTTACCATTTACAATAAACTGCTATATAGCAGGGTTCAATCCCTCTGCAGTTTGCACAACACCTTCTTCTGCAGTAATGATGGACATTCAGGAAAATTACTATGTAGATAACTCATCTTTTTCCTCTCCACTGCTTAACAGACAGGTCTGATAGTGGCGTGTTACCAGGGCTACGTGGATGTGGTCATTGCACTTTCTCAGTGTCCACATGTGGACGTGAACTGGCAGGATAATGAAGGGAACACTGCTCTCATGACTGCTGCACAAGCAGGTAAGGGAAGTGACACCAATTAATCTATTAAAGGCAATATAATTACGACCAATAACCCTCAGTGTACCCCCCTGGGCCTTCATTTGACTTCTATAAAACCAAGAGCAAATCAAATATTATCACTTACCTGTGAACAGAAGTAGCGAGAGATCCTTTCTTTTGTATTATGGCATAGGCTTTCCGAGTGAAACAGATTACTGAACCAAAAAATAATAATAATAATAATAATTATTTGGTTCACTTCAATGGTTGTTGATTGGATGGAGGCATATATAAATGTGAGCTTGCAAGAAAGGGTCTAAATAGCTGCTTTCCCCCATGCGAACCAGGGGGCTAACAACGTGCCAATGGGCTCTATGCACGGCGTTATTTCCGGTGAAGGATTAAGGATGCTCGATAACTTCCGCCGATCATAGAGTCCAATGCAATACCGAGAATTTATATTGAATTTTATACTCCATGGTTATACTAATGAAACGTTAGTCACAAAAACAGATAAAACAGACACCCCTCGTTGTGTTTATGCTTCTTTTTAAAATTATATTAAATAAACATAACTATATATAAAATTACATCTAAACGTATGTACGTTTCATTTCAAAGACGGGAGGACAGTAAATATTGAAGAATCCCGTTTTCTCCGGTTTTCCTCCGCTTTAATCTACACAACCGGAAATGGACGAGCATCCTTACGTCAAATGCGGAACTTATGCGTGCATATAGCCCATTGCCTCGGACCTCAAGCACCGAGCCCAAAGTTGCGCTTCCACTGTCCACCACCACCACCACACTATTTAAACAGCTGACTGAAAATGGAGAGACCTACTAGATCACAAAACGAGCATGATAAAAGAGAATGTGTGGTCTTTACTTAAAGACTTAAGATTCCAACATCGTTCAGGCCGGCTGCAGGATGAAATGACTGAGGAGGCATGTGAAATTGTTAAGGTGGCTTAACTTTATACCATCTATGAACAATACACACTGAGAACTCACTTAAATTAAACTCGACAGCTTTTAAAACACTCCATATGCAACTACAGGTAACCACATAATGAAAATATAAGCCAGCGTCATTTATTCTGCATATATTAACCCTTTCATGTTTGAGTTGAAAATATTCTAACATTAACTGACTCCCTTGACTAGTGATCTCAAACTCAATTCATGGAGGAGGGCCACAGCTCTGCACAGTTTAGCTCAAACCAGCTCCAACTCACACCAAGGAAGTTTCTAGTAATCCTGAAGGCCTTGATTAGCTCAATGGATCTGGATAAGGTGTGATTGATTAGGGTTGGAGCAAAACATGTGCAGAGCTATGGACCTCCAGGAATTGAGTTTGAGATCACTGCCAGTTTTTTTCCATAGACAGTAAAAGAAATGGACACAGTGACCCCATTGATTTGAACTGAGAAGCCTGAACCCGATTATTGCACTTCCTGCCTGATGTCTGAGTGACTGCGGCTCAAACTGAGCTTGACGACAGTCTGACAGCTGTAAATCTTCTAGTAGCTGTGCCAAGACAAATCTGAATCACCTAATTCCACCTAATCACCTAATTCCTAAAACGTTGTTGCTTTTTATGGATTCTTTTAGCTCAAAATGTAGAGAATGTTGCTAGCAACATCAAGCTCATGGGTTTGATTTCCAGGGAATATATGAAGAGTTCAGATGCAAAAGCCTCTAAATGCCATTTGAAGTTTTCTTCTAGAATGGTCATTTTTATCAAGCTTGCATATTTAAGTTCAGTAATTTCACTTAAATGACAATTAATAGTTAATCTTCATTGCCATTTAAGTGAAATCACTGAACTTAAATATACAAGCTTGATAAAAATTATCATTTTAGAAGAAAACTTCAAATGGCACTTAGAGGCTTTTGCATCTGAACTCTTCATATGAACTCATAAAATGTTGCTTTGGATAAAGGCATAAAATGCATAAACGTAAACGTATTCTACATCTTCTTCTGAATTATAGGTCACAGTATGATTACCAACTACCTGCTGAACTATTTTCCCGGGCTTGACACTGAACGCAGGAACTGCCATGGCTTCACTGCAATGATGAAAGCGGCCATTCAGGGTCGAGCCGAATGCGTGCGGTCTCTCATGATGACAGGTACAGTATCATCAGCTGAAAAATTCATATGAATTCCTAATTTAGTTCATGCATAATAACCTTCCATTTTGTTCCTTCATCTGGACATTCATTTTCCCTTTGTCTGATGTTTTTATTTATAAAGGAGCAGACATTGAAGCAAGGGACTTTGGCCGTAAGCAGACCCCACATGAATGGGCCATGTTCACGGGCCGCTACGAGACCGCCAAACTGATGTCCCGACTGATGGAACAGCCTTGTGCTGAACAGTTCTGTGACTCTTATCACATGGAGTGGCCTATGCTAAGCGAACTGGTGGCTCGATCAAAAGAGCCCAAGTCCTGCTTGAGGAAGTTCTCAGAGTGTGTCAGTAACTTGCTCTCATTTAGCATGAAGACCAACCCCGTAGAGGAAGGTGTCATGGACTATATGGTACGCATGACCACGGCGCTGGCCAGCCCGCTCATAGCCACCGCCTGCCACACCGTGTGCCCGGGCAGCCCTCCGTGTGTTGGAAAACGCCGCCCTGCCGTACAGGACATCCTCCGTAGACAGCGTCTAGCTGAACTGAAGAACCTGGGGCCCGAGCGCCTCAACAACTACAAGCGGCTCTTTCAGAACTCCAGGGTCCTGCTGGTGCCAAAGAAGCAGGAGCGGCGTGCCAGTCTGCAGCCACAGTTACTGCAAAGTGTAGCGATGGCCTCCACCATGGCTCTGAGGAGGAGTAGCCTGCTGCCCCTACACTTGATGCGCAGAAGCAGTGTGCGTCCTGGAGTAGTGGTGCCTAAAGTCATGCTGTGTAAAGCTCCTGCCCCTGCATTCATACCGGAGCGTCCGCCTAGTAGGACTTCAAAAGACCCATTACACCTACAGATCCCTAAATGGAGGTACAAAGCTCTGAAGGAGGAAAAGAAGAAAGCTGAAGAGATGAATAGGTTGAGATTGCCTGTCGGGAGGAAAAAGTGATGTGGCTTTTGATGCCTTAGTGTTTTTTTAAGGATGTTTTCCTCTGTGAAGGCTTGTGGTCTGTGAGAGGGTCAGCAGGACAAATTGTACACTCTACTCTTTTAGGCTAGCCTGATATCATCATACTAGTCGGAATGTGAGTCTGATACTGCTCCATTGGGCTGTGATTATGGGGCGTGTTTCAACCTAACCAGGAAAGAAAATATCTCTGCACTTAATTGGATAGACATACAACCAATCAGAGCAACGGAAATTGCAAGTTGACAGCTTATTTCAATAAAACAGTTTATAAGACATCCAGACAGAGTTTAAATAGTGTCTGTGAGATGGAACAATGGTGTTGTACTACAGTATGTCATTATTTGTATATAGTTATAAATGCATAATTTACTCATTTAATAAACTTTCAAATTTAGTTTTTTGTTATCTCTTTTTGTATATGCATTAATTGCTATGCTTGATAATTACTGTTGTTACATGTGGCAAAAAAATAAGATAATTGGGGGTTGGGGGCCCCAGAAAACACTATGGCGGCCCTGGAACTGGCCTATGTCTATAAACCTGGAAAAGCTCTATTCTCTTAATTGTCATTATTTTATTTTTTTAAGGTTAGTCCAGTTTGTCTTACGAAACAGATATAGTGTCTTTTGTAAAAGTTTAACTTTTTAACAAGTCAAAACGGGTGCTGAGAACACATTACTTATGTTCCGAGCCAAAATACCTTGTTCAGCGCCATGACCGATAGGAAAGCGAGGCTGTGAGGGGTAGACTTACCGTGTTGGTGCCTGTTGTAAAAAAAGAAAAGAGAAATAAAGATGTATAAAGCTTATACATCAATAATAATTTTCCACAGCTCATGCCTTATTGAGTTATTTTGTCTACTGAAATTGCATGGAAATATATTTTTGCTGTGTTTTGTCAGAAGATTTGAAGTATTAAATAACAGTACAACCCACTGAAGGGTATGTCTAAGGTCTATGGATGCCACACCCTAACCTTAACCTAACCAAACCCTATCCCTCCCTAAACCTAATTTAGGTTGGAAGTCATTTGGCTTTGCAGTGAGCACCTCTTGTGTTCAGACGAGGAGATGAATTAATTTCATAATGAAATTATTCACAAGTAATGATAAAAGGTAAACGGTTAAAATAAAAAGAAAAATGGGTGAATTTTCAGTTTGTAAAGAGAAACATATAGTCAGTACAAAAAGACAGTGCTAGAGAGACATATGTAGTCACATATTGGGGAAGATTTGGAAGATAATGTTTTTTTTATCAGGTAAGTTTCCTTTAGACATGTCAGTGACAAAGAATCAAACTATAGCGTTGAAATCCTTTAACAACGAAACAAAGCAGTCGAAGTTACAAGGGGTGCACCTGTCACAGCAATGCAGAGTGGCAGTAAACTTCCTATAGGGGTCAGTATTAGTCCTACATTCTTCTAGTCAGTCAAGGTAAGGCTTCATGTTCTCAAAACACACAATCCAGACATAGCATTTCTTTATTAATATCCGTATCTAACGACATGTTCTTACACACTTACATTAGCGATAAAATTGAACACTCAGTTCACATCATCACCACCTTTCTATGCATCAAATTGAACTGTAGATGGATTAATACTTACGCGTAAGCATTGGTGAAATTGAAATGAATGGACGTGAAGGGCTTGGTGTTTCAGAGCTGTAGGCATGAGATGTCGTTTAGCACCTGCCACACTTTTTTATACTGTAGACTGGTTCTCAGGACAGAAGTGAGAAACACATACCCTGTCAATGTCAAAATGCCTCTCTGTGGGGAAAATGGTAATGAAACTGTCGTGATGAAACCCTAACAGGAGCTCGCAGCTTGCCCGCCTGCCTCTGATAGCTATCTAAGAATTCTATCAAAAATACAATAAATTGAAAAGTCACGCCTGTACAAGGTAACAGAAATCTCTTATGTGTTAGTTCTGATGTCTGAAACACAATAAATGCTGTTGACTAAATCAATAGCCTACAAAATACATGGAAACAGTGGCGCAAAAAGTGGGTATGCGCTATAGCCTATATGCGGCGCATAGGGGCGCAGCACAATGGGGGGCGCCAAAGCGATGGTAAAAAAAAAAAAAAAAAAAAAAATTATATATATGCTATATTGTATTTCTATATGTAGCTGCCGTTGTGCGTTTCTAAATCATTTCTGCATTCCTTTAATGTTATATAAAATTTTAGAGGACTAACAGGCTAGAGTAGGCGCCCTCATGGAGAAGGGGGGCGGGTAATATCGCGAGCGGGCGGGGGGCGCCGTGAGCGCTGAGCGAGCAGGTACAAGTAGTGAGTTCAGTTGTCGTCGAAAAAGATGGATAAAACAAAATGCTGTGGGGCTAAAAATAGAAAAAGAAAGAGAGAAAAGGAGATGGCATGTAAATTGAAATAACTGCATGCATTGCTGAAAGCCAACAGGTAGGATTTAAAATGTAACATCCAGGCATGTAGGCCATCTATCTCGGTGGCCATCGGGACTACCGGGAGATTCCCGCTGGGCCGACGTGCTTTTCAGCCAATACATCCTTTTTTAATTTATTTGTCTTAACGGCCCACAAAACTCATACATTTGTTTGTTGTTTGTTTTTGTTTTGTTTTTTGCTTAATTGGCGGCGCTGTGCTGGTGTAATGCATTGGTCAAAAAAAGTCAGCTTTAGTTTTTTTTTTTTCTGACACACTGGCCCATGAAACATGTCATTGTGCGCTTATGAAGTATAGAAATTAGTGCAAAACTAATTATGAAAGTTTCCTTTATTTTTCTGTGCATTTGTTTTACAATAGCCTTTATGGCTATTACTATGGAATTTATTATAACTATTATTATGTAGTAGTGTAATGTAGACAGACACTAATTAAAAGAGGTTCAAATTTTTCTTTGTTTAATTTGCACCCTGAATATGGGTTGGAGCTTTTAATTTTGAACTCTCAAAGTGCACCAGACTGCTGAATTTAACATTACAGAACAAAAAATGTTCTTACGGGGGAGCATGCCCCCGAACCCCCCTACAGAAACAGAGGTCCACCTACCACAGTTTTACCTAAAGTCCTGTGAGAAACACTGGTATTGCTGTTCCAATGGAGCTTATACATTTTTCAAATTCTATAGTATTGATATGGCAACTAGAAAATTCGTCCGCTAACCTCCATAATGTGTCGTGTTTCAAATCAATGACAGTTGGAGCTCCTAATCAAATGATAACATTAATTACTGCCAGGTGGTGTTTAATTAATTGAATTAACGAGATGAATGCGTTCCTGACATATTAAAGTCTGAAGAGTGGCTTGATAAGGGTTAGTCTTGGGTGATCTGTCCTCATGGCTGTGAGGGAGATTTGTGTTTGGAAGAAGCTCATTTTCACCCTTTTTCTCTTTGCTGTTGATGGACTTAAAGAACCAGGTAAGTACCAGCTTTGAAGTAAACAGAAGCATTCTGTTTTTGTGTCAAAGTTGTTTACTAAACTTTACAGATGGTGAAAATAAGCTTTGTGAACCATTGAAGCTTTCCTTTAACACCATTACTACTCTTGGTTTGTTTGCCATCCAGTGATCAAATGGATGATGGTCATGTGTTTTTTTTTTGTTTCCCCTTTCCTAACCTTGATCATTCCTAACAGATATCCGTGACTCGTTTTGATAAGACTCCAATTGTGAACAAAGTGACAGCGTCAATATAGCTCCAGCAGTGCAGATTCTGGTCTACAGTGGTCTTCCCAGTGAGAATGTTGCTGTGCTCTCTTACCACCCTTGACTCCAGCGTGGACCTCGGCCATTCAGCCTCCCTCTGTTGGACATTACATCTTCTTCGCCATGGACTTGCTGCCCTACGGCTCTCCACCTCTTTCGCCTTTGACTAGCTCCGCCCTCCCCCAGGTTCCACCTCCATCTATGGTTGCTGCAGCTCAGCCTCTAACCTCAGGATCGCTGCTTCCACTTCAGGGGGTCGGCGCTGTGGCCTAGTCGCGGTCACCTAGGTCTTTGTGTCTCACTGCCTCATCGCTTCTCTGGCTACGTGGTGTGCTCCACCTCCATCACCTCTGGTAAGCCCCTTGGTAGTGTTGGGACTCTTCACTCCATGGCTACTCCATTCTGCGACGCCACCGTGGGAAGCAGTCCTGACTGTGGGCTGAGTCTCCGTCAGCCCTTCCCTGCTCAAGGCCATCCCCCTGGCTGTCACCACCATCTGCACCAAGCCGTCCAAAGCCGTCCGCCCGCCCGCCCAAGCCGCCCGCCCAAGCCGTCCGTCCGTCCGCCCGCCCAAGCCGTCCGTCCGCCCGCCCAAGCCGTCCGTCCGCCCGCCCAAGCCGTCCGTCCGCCCGCCCAAGCCGTCCGTCCGCCCGCCCAAGCCGTCCGTCCGCCCGCCCGCCCGAACCGCCGTCCGTCCGCCCGCTCGCCCGAACCGCCGTCCGCCCGAACCGCCGTCCGTCCGCCCGCCCGCCCGAACCGCCGTCCGTCCGCCCGCCCGCCCAAGCCGTCCGTCCATCCGCCCACCCAAGCCGTCCGTCCACAGTCAGGACTGCTTCCCACGGCGGCCATCCGTCCGTAGTTGGAGGAAAGGTTGGTGCAGGTGATGGTGACAGCCAGGGGGATGGCCTTGAGCAGGGAAAAGCTGACGGAGACCCAGCCCACAGTCAGGACTGCATCCCACGGTGGCGTCGCAGAATGGAGTAGCCATGGAGTGAAGAGTCCCAACATTACCAAGGGGATTACCGGAGGTGATGGAGGTGGAGCACAGCACGTAGCCAGAGAAGCGATGAGGCAGTGAGACGCAAAGACCTAGGCGACTGCGACTAGGCCGCGGTGTCGCAGAATGGAGTAGCCATGGAGTGAAGAATGCCAACACTAGTCTCCCAAGTCTTGAAAAGAGAGACCAAGAGGTGAAAAAATACACAAGTAAGTTGTTGTGTAAGGGCAGTTCAATGACAAATCTGAGGCCTTAATCTAAAGCACTTTGTTTCTGGTTTAGTTTTGCCCAAGTTTGACATGACCGTAAACACACCGCAGACCTACAGCATTGCAGTTATGGGACTAAAAGTTGAGTCTTGTGCCAAGTGAGTGATGCTTTATTTTCTTGTCTTGTGGTTGGTCAGTTCTTTATCTTTTTATAATGTTTCCCAGATATACATATGGCCAACCTGTACCTGGTCAAGCCTTAGTGGAAGTGTGCTGTGATCCGTTTCCACACAGTCTGCTTCATAATTTGACCAGACCGTGCCTGACTCAAACCGCAAAGGTGTGTGATTCTTCACTGTTTGTTTGTGCGTTCTCTCGCAGATGTAATGGTGTCAATCTGCAATGGTGTCCTTTACAAACAAAGCTGTATATCTCTTGGAGGGGAGCAACTGGCCCAACAAACTGCTGTTTAATCTAACCACAATCAAGAATGGACGGGCTGGGTTCTCCATAAACAGTGCTAATCTTAAGGCTGATCTGAATCTGGTGGTACGACTTGTATTTTGTAAAACTTAAGACTTTCTCTAACATGATACTGATTAAGTTTGATCTTCCCCAGGCGAGTGCTAATCCAGAGGTTTTTTATGGTTATAAATCGCCATACTTCACTACAGATACAAGGTTTGTACAGCTTCTCCTACCTGTTTCTCCCGACAACCTATTGTTTAGTGAACTGACTGTAGTGAAGATCAATCAGCCGCTCAAATGTGGTGTTTCATTTCCAGTGACCGTGGAGTATTCATTTGTTGGAGAGGCTGGTAGCTACAGTGCTGACATAATCTATAGGGTGAGTGGACATAACTTTTGTAGTTAAGTTTGCTGGTCTGTTTGTTCTGCAACTTGCACACCTATGTCTTCTGTCAGGTTTTATCCAAAGGAGTGATTGTCCTCCATGGATTTCAGACGGTTAAAGCAAAGGCTGGTGATGCAGTCACAAGTGGCTCTGTGACGTTCCAGTTGTCTGTCAGCGTCGATATGGCTCCAGTAGTGCAGATTCTGGTCTACAGCGTTCTTCCCAGTGAGAATATAGTTGCTGGTAGTGTGCCGTTTGACACCGATCTGTATTTGCAGAATCAGGTACTGTATGATGTGGCTATTTTTCAATTTGGTAATGTTGGTGTATGTCCTACAGCGTTTTGGTCCTTGTTCCAGGTGTCTCTGCAGTTTTCTCCAGCTACGGCTGTTCCTGCGGATGGAAACGTTCTGATGGTTTCTGCTCAAGCAGGATCTCTGTGTGGCCTCAGTGCTGTAGATCAGAGCGTCCGGATCATGGAGCCAGGAAGACGTCTGAGTGAAGCACACAGACAGCCTTTCAGCAATCAGGTTTTTTGTTTGGGCATTTAATCTGAATATTTCAGTGTGTGGCACTTCTAATTAGAATGCCACTTCAGTTTACCCCAGTGTCTGAAGTACAAGGGCCTGAATTTTTATCGCAACTTCAGTGTCGGTACGTCTGTTAGTTTGATTCTTGCTCTAGAAATTGGTAAATGACTTAAAGATAAAATGAAAAAAATGTAGGCTTTTAATATGACGGTCGGAAGTCCGTGCGTGCGTGCTTGCGTGCGTCTGTCCGTGCGTGCGTGCGTCCGTCTGTCCGTCCATCAGACACAAAGACCTAGGCGCCGCAGAATGGAGTAACCATGGAGTGAAGAGTCCCAGCACTAGTCTCCCAAGTCTTTGAGGTCCAAAAAATACGGTAAGTTGTTGTGTAAGGGAAGTTCAATGACGGATCTGGGGCCTTAATCTAAAGCGCTTTGTTTCTGGTTTAGTTTTGCCCAAGTTTGACGTGACCGTAAACGCACCGCAGACCTACAGCGTTGCAATTATGGGACTGAAAGTTGAGTCTTGTGCCAAGTGAGTGATGATTTATTTTCTTGTCTTGTGGTTGGTCAGTTCTTTATCTTGTTATGATGTTTCCCAGATATACATATGGCCAACCTGTACCTGGTCAAGCCTTAGTGGAAGTGTGCCGTGATCCATTTCCACACAGTCTGCTTCATAATTTGACCAGACTGTGCCTGACTCAAACCGCAAAGGTGTGTGACTCCTGCCTTACTGCTGAGGGTTTTTCTTTTGCCTGTGGTTGACTTAATTGTATCTTTGTTCTCCTACCAGATGAATGCCACGGGCTATGCCTCTCTCACTGTTGATGCGTCAGTGTTTTTCAACACCAAATTTGAAGACCAAATGCAATACACATTTCTTGTAAATGTGAATGAAACTGAGGAGGGAACAGGTGAGCTATTGGCTGATCTGAACCATATACTATCATCTTTACAAGACATGCACTTTAAGTCACAAAGTTAATATTCTTCTCTGTTTGTTTGGACTTTCTCTCGCAGATGTAATGGTGTCAAAATCTGCAATGGTGTCCTTTACTAACAAAGCTCTATATCTCTTGGAGGGGAGCAACTGGCCCAACAAACCGCCGCGGCCAATGCCCTGTACTCGGACTTCTCCAAGGCGAAGAATTTATGCAGATCAGAGAGTTCTCTCCTCAAGTCCATATACAGCAGCCACTGAGGGCAGGCCAGTTCTGCCTAGAGATCAAGACGATCCAACTCAGCCCATGAGGGCACTGCCTGTAGATTCACGAGGTGACGTTCTGCATTCTCATTCTGTCAGTCACAAAGAGATTGATTATCTCACTGACAACCTAGGAGACCTGAGACTACCAGGCTCAGCAACTCTGCTAACTTCAAGTCATCCTTTCTCTTCTTATGAACCAACTCAATCCCAACACAAGCTAGCCCATCAAGAAGATGCTACATATCCTCAACCTGGTATTAGGCACATAGATAGACCACGTGGTTACTACAAAACAGACCACAGAGGCCATAACATTATGTCCAATGACCAAAGAGATCGCAACCAATATCCCTCAGCCGCAGTTTATGCCTCAGGACTACAGTCGAGAGACAGCAGCTACGTATGGGACTTATAAAGATCAAAGTCTGAACTGCAAACCGGTCCGCTATTTCCCTTCCACTGAACTATATGGTTATCAGCAACCTTATCATGGGATTCCAGCTACAAGTCCAGTCTATTGAGATTAGAGACTTACTTCAAGGGATGCATTAGCTCACCGTGCACATGAGAGACATGCATATGAGAGACACTCAGACAGCTATGGTCAATCAGCTCCTAATCCGGCAGACAAATCAAGCTTCTTGACCCCACGACAGTACGCAGATTACGCTCAGCCTGAGACATATCAGCCATACCACCCAGTGCGCCCTCCTTCTCTTCCATATCCTCATGTAGAGCCCACCTACAGAGGTCCTATTCCCACCATTCCTCATTTTTTTCAGTGAAGATCCTAGAGAGTTTGCACGACTCAAAATTGCACTGGAGAATTTGCTACCTGCTGAGGCTACAGAACGTTTCAAGTACCAAATACTCGTTGATCATCTGAAACAGGAGAATGCCTTGCTCACTGCAGACTTGTACGTCAACGGCAGGTACCCATACACCAACACCATGAGGTCTCTAACTGCACTTTATGGTCAACCACATCAACTCGCACTACAAAGAATTGGAGAATTGATGGATGGCCCAAAAATCAGGAGTGGTGACACTAAATCTTTTAGACTGTTTGCCCTCAAAGTGCGTGCATTAGTTGGAATGCTGGACCAACTTGGAGCTAAAGGATGGACAGAGCTCAAATGTGGGTCACATGTTTAACGTCTCCTTGCCAAATTGCCTCATGATCTTAAAGCAAACTTCAGAAGGTTTGTTAACCCCATTCAGAACCCAGTTCCAACACTGATAGAACTCAGCGATTGGCTAGAATATGAGCTCAGAATACAAGAGGATGAGTCACAATACGTTTGTAATGTAAGCAGAGCCTACTCTCAGCCACAGAGAGAACAGCAAAGGAATTGCAAGCCGGTTCAACGATTTGCTACTGTCTTGCTTGGTGGAGAACAGAGTAAACCAGCAAGTGTTACAGCAGTCAAGAAGGAGAAACCAACAAAGTACTACCCCTTCTGCAACTGTGTGCAGCATTACTTCAATCAGTGCGCTAATTTCAAACTGCTGAATCAAGATCAAGTGGAGTCTTGGCTCAAGTCAAATCAGAAGTGCTTTAGGTGTGGCTGTGAGCAAAACACACTTACCCTGTTAAGTTGCTGCAGAAGAAATACAGAGATCTGCAAGGTCTGCCCATTCCCTCATTGCAGCAGGCTCAACCACTCTTAATCATTGGCTCAGATTATCCACATTTAATCACAGCTACAGAGCCAGTACGTCTCGGACCTCCTGGTGGTCCTGCCGCTGTGAAAACCAGACTCGTGTGGACTCTGCAGGGCCCGTCAAAATTCCTTGCCATTCATCTCTTACCACAACAGTGTCTATTAACCTCCCCTTTGTCAGCAGAAGCCAAACTTTTTAACAATGTACAGAAATTGTGGCAAATGGACACACTTCCGTATAGGAGTGAGACGCAGAAGGCAAGACACAGAAGCGGTGCAAATTCTTGAGGAGAAAAACAATCAGGGTGGCAGTCGGAGACATTCAAAGGTATGCAACACCTCTCCACCAAAGAAGAAATCTTCCACCTTTGCAATCAGCTAAAGAAGCAGTAACAGCCCATTTAAGAAGCACAGAAAAACACCTTTTGCAGAACACAGATCTTGCTTCAGTGTATGTTAAAGAAGTGCAGAAACTTGAAAAGGCAGGCTATATCTCAAAGCTGATACCAGAGGAGACGGATAAAAGCCGATGGAATCAAGGTCCACAGTTCTTAACTCAGTCAGTTAGTTGATGGCCCAAACAGCCTCATGATGTTGTAAGCGATGACATCCAAGAAGACATCAGTTATACTTTCTGTGGAGTGCTATCCTCCAGTCAAACTGATATCCCAGATATCTCTCGATACAATTCACTTCAAGATCTGATTAAGGCTACTGCTATTTCCCTTCATGGGGCGGCAGACGAAAGTGAACTCTCTGCTGACGACTATACACAAGCTGAACAGGAACTTCTGAGACATGCTCAAGTTGAAAACTTGGATAGCCCAACTCCAGTTTTTCTTTTCTTTTTTCTAAAGGTCAAGCACTTAAAGGGTTAGTTCACCCAAAAATGAAAAAAAAAATTATATATTTATTAGAGATTGATTGATCTTGCAAAAGTGAGACAGCACCAGTATTTTCTTCTGCATGTCGCATACCCTGCTGGGTCAACAAAACAGCAAGTTTTTAATAAAAAAAAACAGAGAATTGCATTGTCAAGTGTAAGAATTAATATTGTAATTAAGGTGTCATACAATGCAATCCGATGATGCTATCAGCCTGTGAACGAAACAGGCAGGAGCCCATTGACATAATTAAGCAATTAAGTGCATTTCGAATTATTTTAATATCATATTACTAATCGTAATCCATGACATTACTGGCGCATGAAAATCTTCCAACGAATTTTAAACAGGCTATTTAATCTCCAAACCAAAATATATCTGAAACCATGAAAAGACTTGATTAGACTTTAACTTACCGGCCAGATAAGCACAGATGATAAGAGCAAGTATGTTATACCAACATTTAAGGGAGGAAATTGACAAACTTTCCACATATCAGCTTTTTAAGGCCTGAAATATAACTGTGAGTGCGCACTTTAAGGGTTCAACCAAAAATCCGGTCATTATTAAGGTGCTGCACTAACTTCTACAATAAAAAAAAAAAAATCTTTCTGATGAAAGTGACTACGTTTACATGCAGCCAATTTTCGGGTTATGGTCGGGTTAAGGTCACTTTTCGGGTTTCTGAAACATTAGGGATAAAGGGCAGAACTGGGACAAAAAATCGGCCCGGGCATTTTGGCCCAGACTGGCCCACTACATATGAACATAAACACAACTGAACTGTGGACACCCTTGAATATGTATACCAACAACTCCTATTAAAACCACCAACGCCATCTAATGAGTGAGATGAAATAACTATTAAGTTTAAAATACAATTCTCCAATTGCATTGGCAATACGCAACATACCAGTCTTTCTCACAAGATGTTTATAGTATTGGTCAGTGCACCTCTGTCCCTCTAGGGGGGGTTCGGGGGCATATTCAGTGTGCAAATTGAACAAAGAAAAACTCAAAACTCTTTTGACAGTTATGACAGTTATAGCCATATATTGTAAAACACATGCTCTGAAAAATAAAAGCAACTTTCATAATTCGCTTAGATTCCAAGAACACAAGATAAGATGTTCCTAACCTTTGTGCAAGCACTCTCAAGAGTTCATGAACAGTGAGCCTCATAAATTTGGGGATCGCATCGTCAGTAGTGTACCTTTGGTTCATAGGGTGTTTCGGCCTTTCACACTATACACCCTCTCCAAAGGCGGCCAGCGACAGGGTGATCAAACCTGCGCTTGCGTCCCATTCCCAATTAGACATGGGAGTTGCCTTGTTGTTGACAGGCAACATCCCATTGGACTATGCTTGGCAGGGGCGTCCTCCTCCCTGAGTCAAACATTGTTGACCGCATACCTCATGACCCTCTCACTTCGGGGCCCAGCTGGGGTCTTTTCTCTTTATCCAGAGCCACTGACTGCTGACTTCTGCCGCCTCCGATACAGCTCTGATTGCCGAACGCTGACTCTGGCCCTTAATTCCCAGGTCTCTAAGCAGTCTGATTGTAGATGTTGCCACAAAGCCTCTGCAGCCCACCTCCACTGGTCGGATTTCTGTGTTCCATCCATGACGGCGTGCTTCGGCAGCTAGCTCAGCATAGCGCAGATGTTTCCGCTCATAAGCCTCATCTACTGAGTCCTCCCAGGGTACTGTGAGCTCAATAATGAAGGCCTTCTTGAGCGAACGGGACCAGAGCACCATGTCAGGTCTTAGGGTGGTGGTTGCGATCTCTGGAGGAAACACAAGTTGCCGACCAATGTCAGCTAGCATTTTCCAGTCGCGGGCCAAGCGCAGCTGGTCTCGATCTAAAGGTGTAGAGCTGCTCTTTGGTGGTTTTGCCCCTTCACGGACAAAAGTCATCCGTAAGGGGTGTGATGCTGCTGGGGGTGGTAGGGAGTTGGTGGCAGCTCGCTTGTTCTCCAGGGCGGACGCAAGGGTTTTTAGAACTTGGTTGTGACGCCAAGTGTAGCGTCCTTGGGTGAGGCTTGTTTTACACCCTGTGAGAATGTGCCTGAGGTTGGCTGGCATGGAACAGAGGGCACACTCCGGATCTTCACCATACCATTGGTGAAGATTAACTGGTGTTGGAAGGACGTCATATGTTGCTCTGATGGAAAAACTCAATCGCCTCGCTTCCATAGCCCACAGATCCTTCCAGCTGACCTTCCTCTTCTCCACACTATCCCATCGAGTCCACTGTCCCTGTTTGGCAAGAGAGACTGCCTTTGCCCACCTTGCAGCCTCCTCCTGCTGGCGTACTTCCTGCACTACCATCTTCCGCCGCTCTGGTGCAGTGGCCTTACTCCAAACAGCATGGCTAGTTAGCCCAAGGCCTCCTCTCCCATGTTGAACATGACCCAATATGTCAGCATGTTTAAGGGCTGCTGTTGCCTCCTGGACTGCTTTTCCTGGCCTCCACTTGCGCCCGGTTGCCAAGGTCGGTGCGTTGTTGCTCACCACTAGGTCTCGAGATTCATTCAGCGTCATCTGAAGCCTGGTTTTTGCACACTTGAATTCCTCTGTTAGACTGGTGAGGGGCAGCTTGAGGACACCATCTCCATAGAGGCCTATGGTGGTAAGGCATCGTGGAACTCCGAGCCACTTTAGATATCCTGTGACTCCTCTTTCCATCTTCTCCACTGTTGAGATTGGAACCTCATACACTACTAGGGGCCACAACACCCGGGGTAGGAGACCAAACTGCAGACACCAGGCCTTTAACTTTCCAGGTAGCTGGGTGTTGTCGATGGCCTGTAGGCTACTACTGATGTCTTTGCGCAGTTGTTGCACCTGGTCTTTGTCCTTCAGGCTTGCATCATACCACCTTCCAAGGCTTTTTACTGGCTGCTCAGACACTGTTGGGATTTGATCATGCCCGATGAAGAATTTCAGTTTAGAGAGTTTTCCCTTCACAATTGAGATGCTGCGTGACTTGGATGGTTTAATCTTCATACGGGCCCAGCTGATGTTCTCCTCGAGCTTTCTGAGCAGTCTCCTGGTGCATGGAACAGTGGTGGTCAATGTTGTAATGTCATCCATGTAGGCTCTGAGTGGAGGGAGGCGGTAACCAGAGTTGACTCGCTGTCCACCAACAACCCATCTTGAGGCTCTGATGATCACCTCCATTGCCATTATAAATGCCAATGGAGAAATGGTACACCCTGCCATTATACCTACATTCAGGGTCTGCCATGAGGTGGTGAACTCTGAGGTGGTGAAGCAGAACTGCAGATCCTGGAAGTACGACCTCACCAGGGTTGTGATGGTGTCCGGTATGTGGAAAAATCTGAAGGCAGACCACAGTAGTTCATGGGGCACAGAGCCAAATGCATTGGCGAGGTCTAAGAAGACTACATGGAGGTCCCTTTTCTCCACTTTGGCCATCTGAATCTGGTGCCAGATCATGCTGGA